CCTGGTGCAATATGGAGCCAATCTGGAGGTGGCAGCATAAAATGCAAAAACGGCAAAGCCCGGAGTTTCCGAACCATCAACCCATCCTAGTCGTCCTTCCTCGAAGTCCACATCGCTACCCATTACACCATCCGACGCTGCTGGCAGCTTAACCGTAGAGAGCCTATGTTAAACTTCCCCGCACTTTTCAACATGTGGCCCTCTTTTTTGGCTACCTTTCACATTATTTTCAATGCGCAGTCAACTGGCGCCTTCTACTGTACGGACAGTCGACGCCATGAATGAAACAAACGACGCTGAGTGGGTTAAAACGGCGATTTCTGACAAAATAGTTTTCAGTCGTTTTTTGGCATTCAGAAGGCCATTTAGCGGAAATGAACCCTAGTTTTATACTCAGTGCTCATGCCCCTATACGATGCAAAAAACCATTTTCAAAAAGCGTCCCACGCCCTGAAAGACCTTACTTGTCAGACGTAAGGGGAAGTCGTTCACTGTGGCGCGAAGGTACTCCAAAGGTATTTCTTCCCATGCTCTGAGCAGGTCCCTCCGGGGAAGCATTTGAGTGGAGTTGCTTAGAGCAGGCCTTGCTCTCCAATAGCGACCGTACGGAATAATCCATTGAATTCATAAGGATGTCTCGGCACCACTGCGGGGTCACCCTCACTCTATGAGCCGGTGTTGAATATTGTTGGAACACGGTCTAGAGCCGAGGTGATATTTTATCCACGGAAGCAAGGTTTTTTTTAGCACGCCCTCCAAGTGGACTTCCGTATTGATTTTAACATCGTTGTCGATTAAAATCAGCGGTCCTCGCTTCGTTATTGAGCGCTGCACAAACCATGATTTCCTCTGCATGTCCAGGGCGTCCATAAATTTTTCCCGTCTCGTTAGCATTTCAGCTGTCGAGCAGAGCACCCGATCGATCCGACGGTTGAAGGTCGACTCCATCGTAAACAGCTTCTCATCGGAGAAGACAATGTCTCGGTGGCGCGCCGACGCGTACCGTTGGAGGAGGACCTTGCGCTCCCAGATCCAGTTTGTCTTCGTGGATGCAGTGAGAAGATGCACCTTTCGGCATCGATAAGGCGTCAATTCCAGCTTCTCTTTAACTATACGGCGAGCGGAACTATGACTTATTCCCAGCTTCTTGGCAATCTTCATCATCGACCTCTTCGGATTGCGCCACACCGTATCCCGTACAACTTTAACCCTTCTCGAGGAGGCTGCAGTTGTTTTCTTTCCCTCCATGGGCGATATTCTGTAGTACAGAGCCCCTTGAATCGTTTAATGGTGAAGTCCATAGTTCTTTTGCTGATTGATTGGCTGCTTTCATAGTCCGCGATTTAGCCCGCGAGCGTGCAAGCGACTGACCGGGGGCGGCGCTCGCCCCTGCTTTACAACTGAATCTTGGTCGATACCGCTGGGCGAGTAGTCCCCCGGTCGCTCGCTTGCTCGCGGGCCAAATCGCGGACTATGAAAGCAGCCACAGAGTTTTTGCGATGGTTTTGAAACAGCGAGCCGTCTGGTGTAACTAATAATCGCGGGTCTGAGAGGATGAGATCAAACCATTTTGAAAGGAATAGGAGCTGAGGATCGAAGCTTGTGTTCTGGATAAAGGAAGGAAGCCTAACATGTTCGCGGCTGATCGATAGATCATCGCTGCATTAAATCAGTAGGTCGAACTCTACAACTTTGAGCAAGTAATTTTGGCGCACCCTGTATACCAGTGATACCGCCCGGCTGACACGGGCTTTCCTTCTTCCTTTGTCAGAGTCGGAATGTCAGAATTTTGCACTCACCATTTCAGTATAATACTTCAACGTGAATGGTCTCAACATTCACTTTTGAGATGGATTTATGAGGAAACTCCTTTTCAACCTTTTTCGGAGTGGATATAAAGCAATTCCGGGAAGCACTGTCTAATATGGAGTTTGTTACTCTAGGCAGTGCTTGGTTAGGAAATGATGGAGGAAAAAGGTTCGACTTATTGGCTTCATGAGGACGGTAATTTCCTTGGATTTCTTCTTTTTAAGAATGAATAGAAAACAGTTCTAGAGAGCCCTCTCCAATCTTAGAGGAGTGAAGCATGCTTTCTCAGATAGTGCTTGGTCAGGGAATGATACAGAATATTGGCTTAAGAAGCATACCTTTCTGAGGCTTTCGACACTAGTCAGAACCCCACTGGTTTTATGAGGACGCTGATTGGAGACCGCCTTCATAATGGGGTCCACTACCGTCTCAAACTAAACATTCGTCTAGGGCAACGAAAGGAAAGCTAGCTGCGTGTTAGCTGTTTTTGAAGGCGTCCAGCCATCAGTGATCGGCCATGGGCGTGAGATCACTGGAGAAAAGAGGAACGACTGAGTAAGCGCGCGTCCTTTGGGAATATCCCAAGCACGGACATTGCAGTCACAGTCCATAAGTGTGAGGGCTGGATGTACTTAAAGGCACTGTTCACGAAAAAATGGTTTCGGAGATTTGCACATGGTTTGAATTCGACGCCCCCTCTGATACCATTTGTGCAGGAATGAGGTCGGAAAACGGTCTGGACAGGGCACAATAAGGGCAGGAACAGTGGGGGACGGGAGGCCTCCGCCCCTCGCTAGGCTGACTAAGAAATCTAATTGCCGTTCATCACTCTCGCATTGGAGCGAAGTTGTCTGCTTGGGTGTGTTGTCTGCTATTGCAGACATTGCGCCGCCTTCCTGCACTCGCCCGAACACTCCCTTAACCGCCGTTTTTCCAATGTGAAACTCGTCCAACCCCCCTTCCCAGCTCTTTTTTGACCCTTTCTATTTCTTTTTGTTCATCGTTTTTGCGCTTTTTCGTTGTTATTGCTTTATTCTAGAGTGGTTCTATCAATTCCCGTCACAAAAGGGTACCCTAACTTTTTTGTGAATGGTGCCTTTACCTCTTGCCTTACTCTCTAGTGAGGTGTTATCTCTTCCGTTACATTTTACAGCATCGTGAGTCAGAAGGGACTGAAATCGGTTTTATTATGCGATATGGGCCACCTGGTGGCTAACATAATCTTGAGGATTCCCGCGCATCCCATTCGTGGTAGCTTGAGATTTTAATCGGCTGGTACGTTAGTCTTCTTCCTTAGATTCTTTCAAAAGTGTCAATAGCCCTCCCTGTCAATTTCTGTTATTCCGCACACTTGACAGAATATAGTTAATAAACTCGCGACATTGCTCAGATGAGTGTGCTTGGGCCATCTACACCCCTCACAAATTCATTGTTCTAACAGCGTGCAAATTACTGTTTTTCCCGTCTTATCTGGAATCGTATATACACCAACAAACTTGGATAAGTTTTCCATCACCAGTAGAGCGAATCGTTGCTTCCTTCAGGCAGGCCGTACTCCACCATCCCTATTCCAATCAATTTATTACGTACGACCAAATACTTCTCGTGGTATGCACCGACTCGAACGATCACAACCAAGCTTTCGAATGCAGTTATTTTATGCGTTGCAACCTACAACGTAAAACAAATTAGGGCGACCGAACCGGAAGAAAATGGTAACGAAAAATGGATTAAAGATGCGGTGATAATATGGCGAGGCTCAAACAGAAACAACGTAAATAATGACTGAGATCCCGATACAGCAAATGATCGACAACAGTCGAAGCTAAGAGCGAGTAAGGCGAGGCGATGAGGTGAGGTCTAGGGGGTGTCTCTCGTGGGCGAATCTTTTGGCAGTCCTTCTTGGGCTCCTACGGGAACAGCGGCGGGCTTCCGTACGGCAGTAAGAAACGGCGACTGACTCTATTGCAGCGTTGGTTCCGCGCGGCACTCTTCCCGCGCGAACTTTGCAATAGATCATCGATAATCGTAGATCAAAACATTGGTTCATTAACTCCCCTCCTGACATACCCCGTGTTAAGGAATAGTGGTCTCTTCACTCGTATTTACTTCAAAGACTCACGTGTCTCACATCGATCACGGTACCGTTTGGGCATAAATCTGGCAGTACGACCAGCTTCCGAGCAGTTGGCGCTTCTTTTGCGACTGACGGTCATGAAACGTCCGACTATATCATAATTGTCGTAGGGGTCACTCCCGAGGCATCGTATGGAACTATCCCATTCCCGTGGTGGGCGTCTTTCCCAAACAACTCTACATCCTTGAACGAGGGAATGGTGGTGAGAACGACTGAGACTTTTGAGGCTGTATGATCCCACATGCGGATATTTGACTCGGAATTGTGCTCTCGTGGTGCCATTACAACGGCGAGATTTACGTCCATCGATCACAAGCTGTCTAGCCATGGTCGTAACATGTGCAAACTGTTTTCTTTGTCCGAAAAACTTTTCCCGATGATCATCAACGCATTGCTCTTGTCATCCGGGGCTGTATGGAGTCGTATACGACACCTTGACGCTCTCCGGCAAGCATTCGAGAATATTTCCTGGTTCTTCAGAACGAAACGTAATTGTGAGGGCCTTGATTTGTTCCACGAATCTTCCCAGTTCTTGCCGTGAATAAGGCTTATAGCGTCCTGGAATACTGCGCTCAATCTTTTGCATGATCGAATGTGTACATGGTAGAAATAAGAGGGCTCGAGTTTCTCCTCGTTTACGACTTTGACGAGATCTAGGTCATCTTGTTGGGCCTCTACGCTTTCGGTCAGTCCCCCAGATAACGCATCGGCTACGCGATTAGCTTCGCCTTTGATGTATTCGATCTCCAGCTGGTACGACTGCATTTTCAGGCCGTATCACTCTCGGTGAGACGTTGGATCGTTTAAACGGAGTTGTAAGTGGTTGGTGGTCTGGCGCACTATGGTTTTTGCACCGAACTTTTTCACACCAAACGCGAAGAGGTGAAATTTTTTAATGCGAAAACTATAACTAATGCTTCGAGATCGGTAACGTGATACCGTTCTTCCACTTTGGACAGTCTTTTACTGCGGTTGGGTCATCTTGTCATCGCCTTCCTAGCAGAGGACAGCGCCAACTCCGTGAGTGCTTGCGTCAGTGTATATGATGTAGGACTTTTCGTCCGATCGGGCGCTTGCACAATAGGTTGGCCCAGCAGCGGACCCCTCATGATTGCATTTTTCAAGTTTTCAGAAGCTTTGTCGTGCTCATACTTCCAAAAGAAAGGCACGCGCGAGGTCGTTAGCTCGAAAGGGCTCTCTGCGATCCTCGAAAAGTTAAGGATAAATTTCCTGTAGTAGCTGCAGAAGTTTGTTCACTTTTCCGACCTCTGGATCGGTTTTCACACCATCTTCGTCCAGAACATGTCTTAAGGATGCCACGTTATTCTCGAACAGTGTGCATTTCTTCTACCTCAGTTTCAGGTTAGCTTTCCGAGAAGCAGGAGACTTTTCTTAGCATTTCGAGATGCCTTTCCTCACTCTCACTTGCTACCAGTGTGCCGTCAATACGTACATAAACTTCATCCCGTTTCATTTCAGACAGAACCAAGTTCATCAACCTTTGGAATATGGCTGGGGACGTACTCAATCCAAATGGCAGGACTTTGGACTCGAACAAGCTTTTTGAAATATGAACGCGCTCTTTGTGCGTCACTGCTAAGCGATGCCATGTCGAGGATACTGAAATATTTCTTGCCCGTTAGGCTTTGCAGTACCGTATCGATCGTCGGCAACGGATATGAATCTTGTTGAGTATGTTTGTTGAGAACACTGTATTCGATGCATAGTCCCAATGTTTTGTCCTTGCTTTGCACCAAGACAACAGGAGACGCCCACTTCGAATTTGACTCCGCGATAACGCCTCTGGCTTCCAAGTCGCTTAGTATGGATTTGAATTCGGGATGGACTCCTCGCGTGACTGGACAGACGTTCCGCTTTATTAGCTTTGTATTTCCTGTGTCTATGTCGTACTAAACCAGGTCAGTTTGCGTTGGTTCATGGACGCTGACAGCAAATACATCGGCGAACTCCTGGACTAGCATTCTCAACTTCTGAGAGTTTTCCAGTTTTCCTGTTTGCGCTTAGATGGTCAAGGAGCGTCTCCATCCTCCTCTCTGTAGCACGCTCTTTCGAAAACTCCAGCATGTCTGATTTGGCATCTTCAAGCCGAGAATCACCCATTTGTGGTGCGAACTCGCCGATTTTTTCTCATTCTTTGAAGATTACCGGCTCATCGAGTTTGTTAAAGACTGGCACTTCAACCACTCCTTTTTCAGATACTGAACACACCCCACTCTCGACCAAGCAGTTGTGTGACTATACTACTGCATCGCTATATCTTGAATGCTGTTCGCATCTCACTTATACTCTACCGCAACTTTTTGGTTTTACATATGACCTCTTTGCTACGACGGCCATAAACGCTTTTTTTGGTAAATTTGAATTCCGACTCTGGCGATTCTTTCCCCGTGCGTCCTCTGTCTTGTCACTGCAATGAGTTTGTGCTTCGTTTCCAGGAGAGATCAGTATTTTTATCCGCCTATAAAGCGTTTGTTCCTAGTAGCAAGATCTCATCTTTGAGTCGGTTTACGCGCATTTGGACAAGGCTTGTTCTTCCTCCAAGGAGTTTCAGCTTTGTCTCCATGCACCCTAAGAAGTTCATCAAATTTCCTGAAGCATCAAAGACTTTCATGTCTCGGGCGTTTACCTCTTTACAGAGGGTATCGTCATCTGCTCCTGCCATTTTCGCTTTGAGCAGGAAGCTTAGTGGCATAATGGTTATCTGCGATCCAGTGTCGATCACAGCAGTTAGCTCTAACCCTAGACACTGCAGCTTGACCACATGCTTCAGGCTTACTAGGCTACACACATTCGTGCCTGGCGTGTTGCGCTGCTGGACCACCTTTTCAGTGTAACGCTGGAAGAATTGCCTACCTCTCTTCTGTCCTTTTTTGACCAACACTCCTGTGTTGTGCATTTTCTTGCCACATTTTGCACACGTGACTGTGTTGGTTTTCTTCTCATCTTCTCAACCACCTTCGGTTGCTCTTCCTTGAAACTTCTACGTCCGGAGTCAAGTAACGGACTTTTTTGAAGCTGTTTGTTGTTTTAGTCCTGGTCAGCTCCTTTCACGTTTATACAGCTCCTGTTCATTGAAGTCATATCGTCTCTTGCGTAAGTGCTCGATGCGCGATGCAGCGTCCTTCATACACTCATGGACGTAATACCGTTCTTCATTGGTTAGGATTTCATATAAGTGGTACGCTCCCGAATCACGAAACTGCTCGTGCAATACTTCCGCTCGAATAAGTGCAAAGGCTACTATATCGCAGCTCGGGTATGCTTTCGACGACAGAAGCTCCAGCTCGAGGCAGAACTGCGCCACTGACTGATGTTCCTTTCTCTTCATCATTCGCATTTTCCTCAGCGCTTCCGCTCGAGACTCTTGACTTTCGAGTCTTATGCGGTTTTCAGCTCTTGGACAACCGTGTCAAAGGAACTATTCTTGACTGCACGAGATAATGTATTGTAACGTAATTTTGCTTCATCATCTAAGTATCCTGCCAGGATCTCCTTTCGATCCTTTTCGCTGTACGCCCTACGCGGATACTTCAAGTTCTTATGAAATATTCAAACTTTTGATTAGATTCACTGTTGAAAACCTTAATGTCGGGCATAGCTAGTGAGCGGAAAAAGTCTCATTGTTTCATCCACTACACGTCCTATCCTATTGTAACTTCGCACTCTCTGGCTCACACTTCTTTCATTTTCTGAGTCCTCACTAGACATACCTATTTTCCCACTCGACAGATATGGTGTCTTCTCTCGCCTAGGTAGTTTCACTTTTCTCATCAGCTGCAGCGAAAGCTCTCTATCACTATGGTTGTTTGTCAGCACTTCTCTGTACGGATCGAACTCACCATCCATGTCTGTGCCTTCTGGCCCGTACAGCTCTTCTCGGCTTTTTTCCAACTGTTTGTTTCGCAGTCGAGCATTTTCGATCTGTAAATCGTTGATTTTGTTGATATTTTCAGTTGTTGCCGTTATTAAATCACTTAGGGTACACTCGTTTACATCGCATAACTTCTGCAGTATGTCTTCTACGTCCTCGTGGCTTACTGTCGTGTTGGCCGCGCTTTGCACGTTCGGACTTTCAACCAGGACTAATACAGTGCTGTTCTTACCACCGATCGCTTCCAACACACCAGTACGCTTTTTGACAGAAGCAGTGAAAAATTGCGCCAATGCCATGTCGGCCTTTGATTTCCTTGCGCAATCTCTTTATGAGCCCTTCGCTGCCACTCACCTGAGATTTGGTCTTTTCCATCTTACTGGTGATTTTCGTGACAGCTAACGTAGTCATCTAGGTCGCAACGTCCGGCTCTTGCGGCTGCGACTTGAGGCTGCCCTAATCCATTGGGCTCTTCTCTTCTGGCTGAACTGCAAAATTTACTGTAAGTCGTGGTACACTCATACTTAGGGAGTGGATTTTCTATCGCACCTGCTTACGCTCGGGTTTGCGAAAATCAATACAATGCCACTACCTGTAGTGCGGACTTTATCCTTACTAAACACGAACTACTCTCGGTCAGTGCGGGCCACCTGAGAAACGTAAACTTGAGTGATCGGTGTGGCTTCACCCCCAAGTCGTACGACATGTTCTTGCTAAGACGTAGGACCAAATACTTCTCGTGGCCTCACCAAGCTTTTGAATGCAATTCTTTTATGCGTTACAACCTACAATGTAAAATAAATTAGGGCGCCTGAAACAAAACAGAACCGGAAGACATGGTAACGAAAAATTATGTGAAGATGCAGTGATAATATGGCGAGGCTCAAATGGAAACAACGTAACTAATGACTAAAATGGCGATACAGCAAATGATCGACAACAGTCGAAGCTAAGTGCGAGTAAGGCGAGGCGAGGGGGGGGGGGGTCTGGGGGTGTGGTGCACTAGGAACGAAATTGTCGTGTCAGCAGGTAAGAAGGTCAGGAACAAAGGAACTAACAGTAGAATCATGCCTCAAATAAGGATCGCATATCGATTGAGCTGTATGAAGAACGCTAGAGCTGTATTATAATAATGGCGAGCGAATGGTCCGCGACAGCCGCGTGCGGCGAAACGGTTACAGAAAACCGTTCCTACTGCCCGTCTTCCGGGGTCTGGGGGTGAATCGCGTGGGTGAATCCTCTGGCAACCCTTTTTGGGCTTCTACGGGAACAGCGGCAGGCTTCCGGACGGCGGTAAGAAACGGCGACTGACTCTATTGGAGCGTTGGTTCCGCGCGGCACTCTCTTCCCGCGCGAACTCTGCAATAGATCATCGATACAAAATATTGGTTCATTGACTCCCCTCCTGACACTCCACCAACACGCAATATCAGCCTCCATGCTTTCCCAAAATACTTATTCAACCTGTCATACAACGTACGAGCGTGAAGGTGCCCTGCCAGAGTACTTACATGTGCTTCGTTTTATCTTTTGTGATCTTTTACGGGACAATTTTCGGGTATCATTTTGAGCTCGCCATTTTCAGTGGAAAAATCTGTCACGCGAAATATACGCGAGCCTCAAAGCAATTTCCCCCTATGTGATCATTACCACGCTCGATTTCCTTGGAACTCTTTTTACGGTCATTGTCTTGTCTAAGTTCCTTGATCCCTCTCACTCTCTCTTGCTGCCATTTCACAGATGACTACACTGAATAATGTAGCTGGTCCATCTACCTGAGCTCGCCACACTGTGAAATGGGGCGTCCGCCACTAAGATGGCCTTCCTGATCAGGAACTCAATCTAACCAATGAATTTGAATTTCCAGGGCCTATCACAGCACTCTCCCCGATACGTTAGCCCTTTTGAACAAGCATAGTTAGATGCAGGTGATCTGTTCGGACCATCACATCCAACCCATAAACGAAGGAATGGAATTTTCGCAACACAGTATGCTACTGCTCATGCTTCCTGATCAGGTTATGTAATAGTTCTTTTAGCCTTAGCGAGGGTTTTTGAAACATGAGAATGAAATGAAGAAGATAGTCGTCGCTCAACAGGCATAAGACNACTCCATACACACACATACACATACACATATACACATATACACATACACATACAACATGTACACATATACATATATACACATGTACACATACACATATACACATGCGTATACATATACACATACACATACACACACATACACCACAACTGATACTTTTCGGAACACGAAACTCGACATAGGACCAATAGGGCATGCAAAAGGTATTCAAAATGAGCCGATGCTTATGCCTATGATTAGAAGTCGATCTGTTGCTGTTCATCTTAGAAATAATGACCAATTGAAGGTTCAACTGGTAGGCAACCAAAACCTTGGATGGTACCCACAAATGTTATCGTGTCATTATAACACCATTATCAAACTTCTTTATCAATGAAGCTTCCTTTCTCTACGGATATATCATTAGATGAGAATCCAAGATTATTAGCGGACGATAAGTTTTGCCAAGAGTGAGATCGAAGCAAACAGAAACCGTGATCCTTCATTGAGTCGCAGACTTTGCTGGGCAGCGGTCGTAACTTGATAGCAGGAAATGAAGTAAACTTCCATCTGCTTGTGATTTAGTACCCCTAGTTGGTCCCTGTCACTGCACTTACCCTTCTTGTCGAATGAAACAATCAAAAAATCAAAGCTGGGTCGTAAATAACAATGGCATTAGGAATTAATTGGTGTCCTTGTACTTTGTCCTCTGAGGCCTCTTCTATCGTCAGTGTTCTTCCCATCCTGCCTCCTCTGCTCCTATGAATTTCGAACATTCCAAACCCAAGGGAACAGGAGTCAAGGATTTTCGCTCAAATATTGGTTTCGCGAAACCTCGCCCCTGTGATTGGAGTCCGGTCCTCCCACCCACCATGAGTGTTGTCATCCTGCCGCCTCTTCTATCAAATTTGAACGTAGAAATTCAAACTGGCAGTTTTTGCGCAATCCCTGCTCTCTGTGGGCGCAGTCTATTCTGCTATCCGTCATAAGTGTTCCCATCCTGCCGCCTGTACTACTTCCGAACTCCAACGCCCTGGGGCCAAATTGACTATTTCCGAGCAAATCCCGCTCCCTATTGCTGAGACCGCTGCTGCTACCCACCGTAATGTTCCCATTCTGCCGCCTCTACTTCTACGAAGTTTGGTCGCTTTAGGTCCACGGGGACAGAAGTTTTGACTTTCCGCTCAGACATTTCGCACAAACCCCGTCCTCTATGAGCAGAGTCCGGTCCTGCCACCCACCGTGTTCGATCTAACCTTCCAATGCGCACCTCTAGCCACCTTTACATCCCAGCTTTGGAGCCGTCTTGTGACTGAATTTGAAATAGTGTTCTTCAGTACGGCTCATTTCGATGCACGCCACGCACACTGTGGGCGGGGCTCCGCCATGCTGATGTGTGCTTTATACTTCGCGGGACATGGCCCACCCATCCTACGCTTGATCCGGTCTCTCCAGGCAGATCTAAAGGAGCTAAGGAATTTTGTGACAGACATACATAACGACAGACGACAGACGACAGACAGAACGACAGACGAAGCGCTTTATAGTAAACCAGGCGGCTACGCACGCTCTCGCGCGCGCTAGGGGCTCTAGCCATTAGAGACGGGGCCGCATGAGCTGATTTTCATTATAGACCTTTATCGGATTTATGAGTCTCCGCTCTAACCTCGCCTCCTGCGGGCGGAGTCTGGTCCTCCACCCACCATAAGTGTTCCCATCCTGTCGCCTGTACTCCTACCAAGTTCGAACATTGGCGGAGTCTGGTTTTGCAACCCACCATAAGTTCCCCCATCACGGCGTCTGTACTCCTACCAAGTTTGAACTTTCTTGGTCCATTGGGACAGAATTATGAATTTTCACCCAGACCCCCCCCTTGTGGGCGGAGTTCGGTTTTGCCACCCACCATAGGTTTTCCCACCATGGCGCCTGTATTCCTACCAAGTTTGAACTTTCTGGGTCCATGGAGACAGGAATTATGAATTTTTGCCCAAACCCCGCCCCCTATTTGCGGAGTCTGGTTTTGCAACCCACCATAAGTTCCCCCATCACGGCGTCTGTACTCCTACCATGTTTGAACTTTCTAGGTCCATTGGGACAGAATTATGAATTTTCACCCAAACCCCGTCGCTTGTGGGCGGAGTCCAGTTTTGCCACCCACCGTAAGTTTTCCCACCATGGCGCCTGTATTCCTACCAAGATTGAACTTTCTAGGTCCATGGGAACTGGAGTTATGGATTTTCGTATATAAATGTAAGAAGGGATGTGAGCTTTGAGACACGCTCCGCCCATTGTGGGCGGGCCTCCGCTGACGTCATTTATGCTGGAGACATCTTCGACAATGTTCCCCACATAGCAACTATTTCCTCTCTGTTGGCTTTCTCCAAACCGAGTTATAAATGTTTTCATAAAGAATTGCATTTCTGGAAAACGCCCCGCCCAGGGGGGTGGGTCTCCCCATTTCGATCTAACTTACCAATGCACACCTCTAGCCACCTTTCAACTCCAGTATTGAAGCCGTCTTGCTACTAAATTTGAAATCATGGTCCTCAGTATGGCTCATTTCGAGGCACGCCACGCCCACTGTGGGCGGGGCTCCGCCAAGCTGATGTGTNCTCCAAGACAGCCGAAGAAGTGGAAGACCTCGTACTGTTCGCACGCCGAGGACACCGAGGCCGTCAGAAAGCGGGTAGCAAGAAACGCGACTCGGAGCATCTCAACGATGGCTCGCGACATGGCAATCTCGCGGAAGTCAGGGAAAGGGTCGTCCACGAAGACCTTGAGATGTACCCCTACCGTACTCGGAAGGCTGCTATCCTGAGCGCCTCGAATCAGCAGGCGCGAGTCAAGAAGTGCCGACAGCTTTTGCTTCGGACGCGCAATAAGGGCCACCATTCGATGGTCTTTTCGGATGAGAAGCTCTTCACCGTCGAGCAGCAGTTCAACGCGAGAACGTCAGAGTGATTGCAAGGAATGCTGAGGAAGCCGATAAGAAAGGAAAAGTCGCTCACCGGGCCGCACACCCTGCCCAAGTCGTGGTTTGGGCAGGGGTGTGTGCCTCGGGGAAGACCCCGTTGATATTCGTCGACCCCGGCGTCAAAATCGACAAAGGTTACTGCCTGAAGACGATTCTGGAAGATGCTCTACTCCGGTGGGCTAATTTCCCTTCAACGGCTGTCCGTGGACATTCCAGCATGATTCGACGCCCGCCCACAAGGCCAGGGTCGTCCAAGCGTGGTGCAGGAGCGAACTCCGCGACTTCATCTCGGCAGAAGAATGGCCAGCATCGTCACCGGATTCGAACCCACTAGACTGTAGCTTGTGGTCC